ATAGTCTTGCTAGAGGTTGATGAATTTTATTAATTTTTTTTTCAAAGAACTAAGCTTTAGGTTTTATTGATTTTCTTTATTGTTTTTGTTTTCAATATAACTAATGTCTGCTTTTATCTTGATTATTTTCTTCCTTCTGCTTGTTTTGGGTTTATTTGCTCATTTCCTATTTACTTAGTTATTATTAAATTTTTTTAATGTTTATTTTTGAGAGAGAGAGGCAGAACGCAAGTGGGGGAGAAGCAGAGAGAGACAGGGAAACCCAGAATGTTAAGCAGGCTGCAGGCTCTGAGCTGTCTGCACAGAGCCCAATGCAGGGCTTGAACTCATAAACCGTGCGATCATGACCTGAACCGAAATCTGGAAGCTTAACCAACTGGGCCACCCACGCTCCCTTTTCTCCTATTTACTGAGGTAGGAACATAGATTCGTGATTTGAGGTCTTTCCTTTTTCCCCTCTCTGAACTCTTTTGGCTGCAAATTTTGATTTGTTGTATCTTCATTCAGTTCTAAGTAGTCTTTCAAAATTTTCTTTAATACTTCCACTATGGATTATTTGGAAGCATGCTGCTTAATTTTCAAGTGTCTGAAGATTTTCCTGTTATTTTCTACTATTGATTTCTAGTTTGAAATTTTGAAAGAGACGTTATTCCATTATGGTAAGAGTATTATACTCTGTATGATTTAAAATATCTTAAATATACTGAGATTTGTCTTATGACCAGAATATGTTCTATCTTGGTCAATATCCACAGGTGCTTCAAAACCATATGTCTTCTGTTGCGTCAGGTGAAGTGCTGTATAAATGTCAATTATAACTTATTGGTTGATGGTGTTACGTAGTTCTATGTCCTTGCTGACTGTCTGAGAGAAGGATGTTGAAGTCCCCAACTAAAATTCTGGATTTTAGTTTTTCTAAAATTTTTCTAAAATTTTCTCCTTTCAGTTTTATCAGTTTTTGCTTTGCGTACTTTGAAGCTCTGTTGTTTGCTGTATACACACTGAAGACTGTTGTATCTTCTTGGTATATTGACCCTTTTACCATTATGTAATGTCCTCCTTCGTCCCTGGTAGTATTGTTTTTGTTTTTGTTTTTTTAGGTCTATTTTATCTATTATTTATATAGCCACAACTACCTCTTCAAAATTAATGTTTAATTTCTATATCTTTTCCCATTTGTTTACTTTCGACCTACTTACATCACTATAATTGAAATGAGTTTCTTGTACACAGAATACAGTTGGGTCACTTTTTTTACCAACTCTGCCTATCTCTGTCTTTTAAATGGGTCTTTGGACCATTTACATTGACTGATTGATTGAGAGAGTGAGCATGCAGGAGAGAGAGAGAGAGAGAGAGAGAGAGAGAGAATAAATCTTAAATCTTAAGCATGCTCCATGCCCAGTGCAGAGCCTGATCTCATGACTGTGAGATCATGACCTGAGCTGAAATCAAGAGAAGCTTAACTGACTGAGCCCCCCAGGGCCCCTGGACTATTTACATTTAAAGCAACTATTGCCATGTCAGGGCTGTCTGCTATTTTACTTTTTGCTTTCTGGTTTTCATTTTTTTGTTTTCTTTTTCTTTCCTTCCTGTGAATTATTTGAACATTTTGTTAAATTCTTTTTTTTATCTGAAATACTTTTGACTATATCTCTTTCCATACTTTTAAAAAAGTGGTTGGTCCAGGTTTTACAATATACTATGTACCTGATCACAGCCAGCAGTTTATATAAATATTGTAGCACTTCAAGTGAAAGGCAGAAGCCTTATTTCCATTTAGATACCTTATTTTCCTTACTTGTAAACTATAAGCAAAATATAATAATCCTAAATATTTTACCTACATACATTAAGCACTACATCAGATGATGTTATAATTTTGCTTCAACCATCAAATACAGTTTTTAAAAGCCAAGAGAAAGACAGTTTATTGTATTTTCCCCACCCATTGTTCTATCTTTCTTTCTGAAGTTCCAAGCCTTCTTCTGTTATCATTTCCTTTTTACTTGAAGTGCTTCCTTTAGCCATTCTTTTTTTTTTTTTTTTAACATTATTTTTGAGAGAGAGACAGAGTGTGAGCAGGGGAGGGGCAGAGAGAGAGGTAGACACAGAATCTGAAGCAGGCTATAGGCTCTGAGCTGTCAGCACAGAGCCCAACGTGGGGCTCAAGCTCACGAACCTCGAGATCATTTCCTGAGCCAAAGTTGGCTGCTTAACCAACTGAGCCACCCAGGCGCCCTGCCTTTAGCTATTCTTTAAAGTAGGTCTGCTGGGGACAAATCCCCTTAGGTGTCTTTCATCTAAGAATGACTTGATTTCCTCTGTATTCCTGAAGAATATTTTCGCTGGATTAGAATTAGGGCTTGATAGTCCTTTTCTTTCAGGACTTATAAAATACTGTGCCACTTTTTTCTGGCCTCCATGATTTCAAATGAGGAACCCACTGTTATTAAGATAATTGCCCTTTCTGGTAATTTATCATGTGTCTATAACTGCTTTCAAGATATTTTGATTTTAGTCTCGAAGTTTGATTTTGATGTGTCTTGGTGTGAATTTTCTTTTGGTTTTTCCTGCTTGGGGTTCAACTGACTTTTCAGATCTGTAAGTTTTTACCTTTTCCCAAATTTGTGGAATTTTCTTCAACTATTTTTTCAGTTCCATGCCTTTTCTCCTCTCTGAGACTGAGATAACATGAATGTCAGATATTCTGTTAGTTTCTCAGCTGTGAGGCGTGTGTGTGTGTGGTCTATTTTCTATCTGTTGTTCCAACTGGGTAATTTCCATTGATTTCACTTTGAACTCACTGATTCTTCCCTATGTCATCTCTGATGAATCTGTCCTATGAGTTTTTAACTTTGGTTATTGTATAATTCAGTTCTATAGTTTTCATTTGGTTCATTTGTAGATCTTCTATTTCTTTGCTAATATTTTCTGTTTTTCATTTGTTTTAAGAATGGTCATAATTATTCACTTTTGACTGAAGCACTTTTTATGATTGTTGCTTTAAAATCTTCACCAGGCAATTCCTACAGCTGAGTCATCTTGGTGTTGTCATTTCCTGATTGATTTTCCTCATTCAAGTTGTGACTGCCTTGGTTCTTAGTAGGATGAGTGATTTTTTTAATCATATCCTGGAAATTTGGGGTATTATGATGTGAGACTCTGGATCTTATTTAATCTGTTTAGCAGGAAGTCACACTTTTCTGATTTAGCACACAGGCATGGGTGGAGATGGGAGTCCAGGCCCCTGCAGGCCCCATGTAAACGCAGAGGGCCACCTTTTATCACCTCACTGGTGCCCGGTGCAGGTGGGAGGTCGGCTCCTTGCTGTGAGCAGCTGCCGCCAGCCCTGGGGTGCAGAGGAGCAGAGCTCTGAGCAGCGCTGCCTCGTCCCGCCTGTTCCGCTCTGTTGCTGACAGGGTTGAAAATTCAGCTCCCTCGGGTGGCTCTGCTACCGTCAGCCCCGCAAACGTAGGCATCAACTTGCACCATTTCTTAACACCTCCCTGCCCCTGGGTAGTAACAAGCTTTCTGCTCTGCTCGGTTACCCTTTCCCAGTCTACTGGAGAGAGGGAGCGGGCTTGGGCCTGTTCGTGGTCCCGGGCTGCAGGCTTCTCCAACGCCCTGAACGGGATATGCAGGAGGCAAAAAGACGACTTAGGGGACTCACCACTGTGTCACTCAAATCCTGAGCACCCTAGCCAGTTCCCTTCTTTCCGTTTCCAGAGTCTTCCTGTGTCTGCTTGCTGTGCTACATGCGGGGCTTTTTCAGTTGTAAGAGGGAGGAACAGGAAGGGATTGGTGAATTCCTGCTTGTCTGGAACTGGAAGTCTGCATAGAGACTTTTTAGTTAAATTGTTGAATAACTGATTAGAGGACTAAGAAAACAAAGTATATCAAATCGTCAAATTATTAATTTAAAAAAACTTTAAAAAATGGTGATTCTCTGCCGTACTTCTAGATGCGCGAGTGTTCATTCCCACTGCCACAAGATGCTGGAACACATATTCATACTGCATATTTGAGCTGTTGTTTTCGAATGCTGGTCCCTGGATTGGCTGTACCAGGACCGCCTAGGGAAGTTCCTAATAATGCACATTCCTGTGTCCAACCCTTGAAGGGGTTAATGCAGTACACCTGGGGTATAGCTGAAACATACATATTTTTAGTGAGTTTTCTAGGTGGTTTTGGTGTATATGCTTCAGAATGTCTAATATTCCACATATTGCCATGTGATGTTAGGTACATGTATATCATACAGTGTTTACAGGTTAACTATATTTCATTGCTGTGCCAAGAAATCATCACTCTATTTAATACCATGCCACATCCTAATCATCTCTGTATCCTAGGTACTCAGCACAGGACCTAAAACTCAATAAATATTTATTGAGTGAATTAAAGAAAATAGCTTTTGGCTAAATAATGAAAATAGCATTATAGTATGAAATAATTTAAACACACCTAAATATGTTAGACTGGTGCCTCTGAACTGTTTGGTCTGTAAAACTTTAATTACAGAAACTGAGAGCAAAAGTTTACAAACTTTTAGAGCAGTGTTACAAAGTTCTGTTAATCTAATAAAATTTTGGGCTTGTATTGTTTAATTATTATTTTTAATTGCAGTGAAGTACACGTAAAATTTACATCTTAGCCATTTTTAAGTGTAGAATTCGGTGGCATTAAATACATTTGTGTTGTACAACCATTACCACTGTCCATCTCCAGGGCTCTTTCCATTTTGCAAAACAGAACTTCTGCACCCAGTAAACACCAATCCCCTATCCCCACTTCCCCAGCCCCTGGCAATCACCAGCAGCCTGGTATTTTGCATGTCCTTTTTTTTTTTTTTAGCTTTAGATTTCATTTTTCTAGTAGTGTATCAGTATTTTATTTTATAAAAGTTTTAGTCAGCAACAAATTAGAAATGAAAACAAACTGGTCCTTTAACAGTTAGTCTGAAAAGCTCTGTGTTAGAATATTCAAACTGTACTTACCAGCGGTCCTGTCTGTAGAGCGTAAGTATTGCCCCGGATCACCCTTCTGTCATACATTATGTTTCCATAAAGCACAGGTTCTTCAGGGCTGTAAAACAGCAAAGTCTAAGTAACTACTGTAGTAGAGTGTTGGTCTATGCAGCCAACTCAGTTTAAAAAAATTTTTTTTAATGTTTTATTTATTTCTGAGAGAGAGAGACAGAGAGAGAGAGAGAGAGAGAGCGTGAGCAGGGGAGGGTCAGAGAGAGAGGGAGACACAGAATCCAGGCTCTGAGCTGGTTGTCAGCACAGAGCCCAAAGTGGGGCTCGAGCCCACGGACTGTGAGATCATGACTTGAGCCGAGGTCGGACGCTTAACTGACTGAGCCACCCAGTTGCCCCAGCCAACTCAGTTTTAATTGGATTTAGACTAAGATAAAAATGTTAAGAAAATAGATTTTCGTTCTGGCAGTCAATGATGAAGGACTACCACTTACTCAACGCTTATCATATGCCAGCCCCTCCACATATTTTATTTATTGCTCACAATAAGCTTCCAGATGGGAACTAGGATTCCCAATTGCTAGAAAAGGAAGGAGACCGAGAGGAATGTGCCTGAGGTTACCTAGCCAGTAAGTGGATTTAGGCTGAAAATCTGTCAGGCTACTTGACAACTGTGAAAACGGCCAGTTGGAAAGGGGTCTGCCTTCAAATACTGACAATAGTTTGATTCAAGGGTTGAAAGGAGTCACAGAATCAGGTTTAAAAAATAAGTCAAATTTCTCATTGTTCTTTAACCTCAAAGATATATTTTAAAATGATATTGTTTTAAATGTTAATAAAATTTTAATTTGAGGGATCAGAATATCAATAGTAAATAGCGAAAAATATGCAGTTGGTGTTTTAATTCAAAGTTCTTTAAAAAGTTTTTTCATTGTTTAATTTTTGAGAGACATAGAGAGATAGAGCATGAGTGGGGGAGGGGCAGAGAGTGAGGGAGACACAGAATCTGAAGCAGGCTCCAGGCTCTGAGCTATGAGCACAGAGCCCAACTCGGGGCTTGAACCCACGAACTGTGAGATCATGACCTGAGCTGAAGCTGGAAGCTTAACCAACTGAGCCACCCAGATGCCCCTAATTCAAAGTTCTTTAAAATGATATCCTATGTATAGCTATGAAACAAAATATTGACCTATATAATAATAGTACTCCGCAAGAAATGATTTTGAGAGGGGTAGTAAGCTGCTTTTTATCGTATATCGAAACCACTGTTGGATAACCTGACTTCATGTTACTTGCAACCCAGGCCTGTTACACGACTCAACTTACTTGACCTCTGGGCAGTGCTCAACTCAGCTGGCCACTCCTCCACTGAAGAACTCTCTTTTCCTCTGTGGTACTACCTTGGTCTTCTGATTGTTTTCCCTAGGACTTCTTTAACTGCTCTTTCTCAGCCTGTGTTGGCTAGCTCCTCCTATACTGAAGGATTTCTTCAGGGCTCAGCCTTCTCTTGCCTTTGTTGATCATATCCATTCTGAAAAGACTTCACTCATAATCCTTATACCTAAAACTCCTACTTTCATTTCACCTTTACCTCAGAACTGTCTTCTGAGCTCTAGGAATGTATATCCAATTGATAATGCTCAGTGACATCTCACTGAGATATCTCAAAAGCAACCTCAAAATTGAACTAATTATCACTCTCCCGCTCCAACTTGTTACTTCTTTAGTGTTCTCTGTTTCATTGTATGGTACTACTGACCACCCAACTGGATTAATCTAGAAGCCTGGGAGTCATCCGCGGTTCTCTCTCTTCCTCACTCCCTGTATCCAGCAAGTCCTATCGATTCTCCTCCCCAAATCTTGTTCACATCTATCCATCGCTCATTGCCACCCCGGGACCACTGCAAAAGGCTCTCAGTCTCTGAACTGTCTGGAAGGACATTTCTCCCTCAGTCTGTTCTGTACATTGTATCCTCTGGTCTTTTAAAATAGGAAAATATAAACATGATGCTTACTTGATTAAAACCTCCTAATGCTAATTAATATAGTAATGAGGAAACATTCTGGTTTTGTTTTTACACTGTCAAAAGCCAAAAAGAAAGAAAAATCCATACACCTATTGCTGGTGAGGATGTAGGGAAAAAGATATGTTTAAACATTCCTAAAGGAAGGGCATATTGTTCCATCTGTTCAGGTTAAAAACATTCGTGACCTCACAATCCCATCCTGGGAATCTGTTTCATAGAAATTAAAAGGCCAGCACGTGAAGCTGTTTATTGAAACCTTCCTCTTTGTGTCAAAAACTTGAAGCAAACTGAATAAATATCTGCTGAGAGTGGAAAATTTTAGTAACACGTTGTACATATCTATCAGGGCATATCATGCTATTGAAAATAATTGGAAGGATTTCTAGAAAGAATTAAGTGAGAAAAGGAAGAAGTTGAGAATTGTATATGTTACCATTGCTATGAAGTAGATAAAACCCGTGTGTACTTGTATGTATCCACGGATGTATTTGTACATAAACATGTGGATGTGGAGAAAAGTCTAGGAGCATTCATGTAAGGTCATTAACATGGTTTACCCTCCAGGCAGGAGGGGAAGAGCATGTTTACAAGGGAAGAGGGTTGGGCACTAAGAATGTACTCAAGAAATTTATAGAAAATTAAATATATGTATGTATGTATAAATAAAGAAATTAGGAAAAAAACAGAATTAGAGGTTGTAAAAACGGGGGGGGGAGCTAATTGCAGACTAACATGTATAGTATGATTCTATTTTGGAAATAAATCTCCTATATAATGTAGATATGCTCAAGTACGGAGGTATAAAAGAATAATATAAAATTGTTAACGGAAGTGGAAATAGAGGTGGGTGGGAGTTAATTTGCCTTTTCATTCTTATTTTGTATTTTTCATTTGCTTCAACAAGCATTAATTAATTTTATAAATTGAAAATCACCACTGATAATTTTAAACTGAAAAATCAAAAACCTGCACATACAGACACACTCCCTCCAATGGTGGTAACCAATGGATTGCTTCAATATAAACAAGGCCCTACAAGTTGCTTATCAACTAGCTATGAAGTAAAAAACCAATTCCTAATGAACCACCAATGATTCTTATTTCATTGTTGGTGTCATTTAATAGTAATGATTTGTAAGCAACCACTTAAAGACACCAGAAAGTGTTTTTCAGTTGAATCCTTTTACAGCATCAATAATCTATAAATTTAAATTTTCTGGTTTCCTTAAAGTGACAGGAATTTTTTCCTTCCTTTTTTATCTTTCAAAGATTTTATTTTTTAAAAGTAACTCCTACACTCAACATGGGGCTGAAACCCACAATCCTGAGATCAAGAGTTGCATGCTCCATTGACTGAGCCAGCCAGGCGCCCCAGGATAGGCATTTCTTACTTAAAAAAGGTCTTTATTTGTCATAATAAGACAATTATAAATTTAGACTCAGTGTTTGAAGTAAGCATCAAGAGTAACGTAGCTGATATGTTCAATCATTAATTCAACAATTTGTTTTGAATGCTTCCTGTGTGTCAGGCACAATCCCAGGTGGACAGAAGACACAAAGGTTTCCGCTTATGGGGGGGGGGGATGGGGGGGTCCTGCGCTCCTGCGCAGTCCTGCTGGTTCCAAATTCTGAAACTTCTAGAAAGAACTATAAGCTTTAGAAAGGGCCGTCAACGTTATTGTGGATAATAATACACATAGATATGTGAATATCTGCAAATCAGCTCATTAATGTAAAAATACAATTTGGGGTCCAGCATGGAAGGATGACCTGATTCCCGACCAAAGACTGGCGTGGAAAGAGCTTTACTTGGCTCTGATTCTCAGTTTCTTCGTGTGCGTAATGGGAGTTGCAAAACCAACTTCACAGGACTGTGGGCTCAGGACGAACACGTACATGAATGCCCCTGGTGGGGTGCGTAGAGTCGGCCAACAACAGTTGGCTTTCATGTACACGTGATTGATCACGCCAGCAGCTCACTATCACTAAACGTTAACTAAGGGAGGCCACCCGTGGCCCTTCTTGCTTCATTCCCCCACGCCACCGGAGAGGTCTTTAGGGAAAAAGATTTTATTTTGGAGGACGTGGAGTGGGGAGAGCAGCGTCGGCAGAGTCGCCAGGGCGGAGGGGCCGGAACCCCGCGGTCCCGGGATGGGGGCAGGTGGGGGCCACACGGGGGCTGGTTGCTCACTCACAGCTGCATCAGGCTGTCCCGATAACGGCGGCGCTGGCAGGGCAGGGCCCGGGGCCGGCTGGTGTAAGTGTAGGTGCCCATGGCCAGGGAGGTGCGGTCGGTCAGCGTGGAGGCCACGTCCCGGGCCAGGGCGCTTCGCCTCGGGTGGACACTGGCTTTCACGCAGGTGGGCGCTAAGCGGTCTTGGGAGCCTGAGAGGTGTGCGTAGTGCCAAGGGCAGGGACTCCCCGACGCGAAGAGAGGCGGCAAGAAGGAAGGCGGGCGGGAAGGGAAGTTGCCGGGACAGGAGGTGGGAGCTACACTCGGCTCGCTCCCGGGGACGCCGAGCCAGCCGACGGCGCCCACAGCGGTTGCCCGGCAACCCGGAGTTCCGCCCGGGGGCGGGACCACCTGGCAGTTCCGGCCGGCGGGTTTCGCGGGAAGGCTGGCCCTCCGGGGAACTTCCGGCCCTTGCCTCCGCCCTCCCGCGCCTCCCCGGAAGGGGAGTCTGCGGGTTAGGGGCGATCTGCGGGCGGAGTCGGGCATCTTGGCAGGCACCGCGGCGGTCCTCGTCCCCACTTTGGAGTCTGCCTTTTCGGCGCCATTCTCCCGGGCCCACGTGCTCCCGTTCCCTTAGGGGCGCCCTCGGCTGTTTCTGCTCCCGCCGCGCCGCTGACCTGGCGCTGCTCACCTGTGATCGCACACCCGTGGCACCCGGGCTCCCAGCTCTGTTACGTGCCAGGGCCGGGCGAGGGCTTCTTGGTGTCTCCCTTCGCCGCCACCTCTGCGCCTCCGAGGCGGGCTGGCGCCGCGCACCGCAGCCGTGCCTGCGTTTCCCGCCGTCTTCGCCTGCCGCTCGGTTGCTAGCACCCCAGACGACCCTCGGACGCACGGAGCTGCAGGGGCCGCCCCTCAGACTTCTAGTTTTGGCAGAGGGGTGGGTGCTGTGTTGAGTCTTTCATTTAGGCCTCCTATATCATGATCTGCCTGGCCCCAGGCTCTGGAGAACGAAGCATCATGGGGTGGGGTCTGCACTTAGAAATGCAGGTGCTTTGGTTTTAGTATGAGCAATGTTAAACATGTTAGAGCTCGTGTAAGTGACGTGCATGTATCTCTGAAAGCTCAGTTATTTGCACGCGCATTTACTCCTTCAGTTCAGCTAAGTGCTGTCCGGGTTTGAAGGCAGGTTTTGCCGTGTATGAGGCCTACAACCTCTAGCGAGTTAATGCTTTTGTGCTTCATTCTCCTCATCTGTAAAGTGAGGGTAAGAGAATTTATCTCTAAGGGTTCGTCACGAGGATTAAAAGTGTTGATAAGTATAAAACACTTAGAACTGTGTCTGATAAGCCATTATATTAAGATCTAAATTCCTCCTGTACTTTGAAGATTAAGATCTAAAGCTAGTGCAGGTATTGTATAAATAATCCTAACATAGAGGTGTGTAAGAAATGCTAGAGGTAAAAATACTGCGTGAAGATTTATGATCTCATCACTTAATTTCGTGGCAACTTATGAAAGGATAAGGATTACAAGAGAAAGTGACATTTTAATCGTGTCTGACGGGTGATGGTGTTTTTACAGGCGAAGGTCTTGGGAGAAGTGAATTCAGAATGGCTTGATCAAAGGCTCAAAAGCCCCAGGGGTCTTTGGAGAACTCTAAGTGAGTAAATACACATGTTTGATAGTTCTAAGAGCTAAGGAGAAACTACAGGCCAGGAGGCATCAGAGGTGGAGGGGGACCCAGAGATTTTAGATTGGTCAGGGAAGGCTTCACTGAGAAGGTAACCTCTGAATGAAGATGTGAAGGATGTGAAGCAGTGAATCTGGAGACTAACATTCCAAGAAGCAGTCAGTGCTGAGTTCTAAGGCGCGTACAAACCAGCGTGTTCAGGCATAAGAGTTAGGAAGCTAGGGTGGGTGGAGCCGAGTAGAGCATCAGGAGATGCTGAGTTCAGATCTTTGTGCCATGTAAGTCAGCGTAAAGATGAACTTCTACCCTGAGGTTAAAAGCCCCAGAGGGTTTTGATTATTGGGATATAATTTGATTTTTTTTTTTTTTTTTTTTTTAAAGCATTTCAATTCTAGCTGCTTGGTTGAGAATAGACTGCACTGGGGCAAAGAGAAGCAGAGACACCAAACCGAACCAGTAAGCCTAGCTGAGAAAGTGGTTTGGATCAGGGACCAGGCAATGGAAAGGTGAGATGTGGTCAGAGAGATCCTGAATCTACTTTGGAGATAGACACAGATGCATTAGAAATGGGGCACTAGACCAAAGAGGAACCAGTTAGTGATGCTGAAGAGGCAGGAAATAGGAGCGTCCCCAAGAAAAAGAGGAAATTCTCTTCCGAGGAGGAGCCACTCAGCAGCAGGCTTGAAGAGGCTACTGGCAACAAGAACAGAAGCTCAAGAACGAGAAGAAGCTCCAGAAGTTAGCCCAGGACATTTATCTGGTGGGGCATAACCCGCATTTCCCAACCCACCCCCTATATCCCAATAAAAATAAATTCACAAGGAAAAAAAAAAAAGAAGTCAGGCAGTAGAGAAAGAAAGGAGTTAAAGATCTTGCTAAAGTTTATGACTAAATGTTGAAGATTGTGTAGAAAAAAATTGCAGAGAGGCTCCGGCCGATGTTCTCTTTCCCTAAAGGATGTGATTTTATTCTGGCTCCCAGTTAGAGTAGGAGCAGATGACCTTTAATCAAGGATTCAGGCTTTGGGAGGGCTGATTGCTTTCCGGTTTGCTCTACTCCCAGAGCACAGGCCTTTAGGAATCTCAACAGAAAGCCTGGGGTGTTCGATAGGTCCCCGTCTTTGGGGGACCTTGAATCCCATTTTTGTATTCCCAGCTCTGTGGGGTTATTGAAAGGTCTGCTTAACCGTTTTAGCCACCTTGTGGCGCCTTTGATTCTTATTTCTAGTGTTCCTGTGGCTTAGAATTCTGCAAATGCTTTAAGGATAAAAGCCAAACAAATGGTCAGGCTTACTTCTCTGTGATCCACCCTCATCAGAGATCTTGTCCCTTCAAGTTCTGTCTGCATTTCTCAACTCTAATTTCTGTCTCCCTAGATCTGACATCTCTAGACCATTGCTTTCTGTTTGCCCCTAAATGCCCTGCTCCGAAACTCAACAGGTGCCCTGGAAAAAAAGCAATGGAGAAGTTGTGTATCCCTATGTATTTTCTTTCTCTCTGGGATCCCAGTCCCTCGTGTCCTCTCTGGTTTGGTGGTTCTCCAGGGCCTTCACAGAGCCTGGGTGGTTTTTGGTTTTGTTATTATTTTCAGCTTTTACAGTTATTCTTGTAGGAGGGTTGTCTCATTCAAGTTAATCCTCAGTCCTAGGCAGAAGCTATGCCAGGAATGGAGTTTCTGTTTCCTGATACAGGGATCGCTGGGGAAGAGCAGGTTTTTGGAGGGAACATTAGAAGTTCAGTTTTAGGCACATTAATCTTGAAAAGCATGTTAGTCATCCAAGTGGAGATATTGAGCAGACGGTTTAACCTGGGGGTCTGAGTCTTCAGGGGATTGGTCAAGAGTAGAGAGGGATTTTGGGGTTAGTGGCAGAAAGATGGTATGTATGTATGTATGTATTTATTTTTCATATAGTTTATTGTCAAGTTGGTTCCATACAACACCCAGTGCTCATCCCAACAAGTGCCCTCCTCCATGCGCATCACCCATTTCCCCCTTTCCCCCACCCCCATCAACCCTCAGTTTGTTCTCAGTATTTGAGAGTCTCTTACGGTTTGCCTCCCTCCCTCTCAACTATTTTTCTCCCTTCCTCTCCCCTATGGTCCTCTGTTAGGTTTCTCTTATTCCACATATGAGTGAAAACATGGTATCTGTCCTTCTCTGCCTGCCTTATTTCACTTAGCATAACACCCTCGAGTTCCATCCACGTTGCTATAAATGGCCAGGTTTCATTCTTTCTCATCGCCAAGTAGTATTCCATTGTAAAATGATCCATTCGTCAGTTGATGGACATTTAGGCTAGAAAGATGGTATTTAAAGCCATGTGACTCGATGAGATTGCTGAGTGTAGTGAGAAGACAGATGAGCCTTTGAAGGTAGTTAGAAGCTGGAAACATGAAAAATAACTAACAAAGGATACTGGAGAAAGATGGCCAGGGAGATGGAAGAAATTGCAGAAAGTCTGGTCACCAGGAATCAAGTGAAGAAAGTTTCTTTCTTTCTTTTTTAAGTTTATTTATTTTGAGAGAGAGAGACAGAGTGCATGGGAGAGGGAGAGAGAGAATCTGAAGCAGGCTCCATGCTCTCAGTGCAGAGTCTGGTGGGGCTCGATCCCACAATCCATGAGATCATGACCTGAGCTGAAACCATGAGTTGGACGCTTAACCCACGGAGCCACCCAGGCGCCCCAAGAAAGTGTTTCAAGGAGAAGGGAGTAAGGATGGCTAACGCAATTCATGGGTCAGGCAAGTTGTGAACATTGGATCTGGCAACACAGAGGTCATTGGTGATTGAGCAAACTGACTGTGATGGAGTTAGGGAGGAGAAAGTTCAGTTACAGATTTTGAAGAGAGGGGGAAGAGAGAGTGACTTAGGGAGGTTTGCTGCAAAAAAAAAAAAAAGAGAGAGAGAGAAGAAAGAACCAGGATGGTAGCCAGGGGGAAATTGGGCCACGAGAAAGCTATTTATATTTTTTAATGGGAGACTTGACTGTGTATATGTGTGCTCATAGGAGTGATTAGAGAGGGCAGAATGGACCATGGAGGGGAGAGAGCCAAGAAGTGATGGACTGATGTAGGCCGGAAAGAATGAAATCTTGTGCACAGTTAGAGGGGTTGGCCTTGCGTGGAATCACGCATGGTTCATTCATGGTAGTAGGAGAAAAGGTAGACGTGACCACAGATACAGGTAGGTAGGTACATAATAATTTTCAAATCCCTTAATAATTAATAGATGTTTCTGATACAGGAAACACTGCACTAAGCACTTTACAGAACTGATTTCACTTAGTTCTTACAATGACCCTGCGACGTAGGTTCTCAGATTGTTTTTACTTATAAGGGAACCAAAGCTTGAAGGAGTTAAAGTACTTTAGCAGAGTCATATAGCAAGTAAGTGACAATACAGATTTAAACCCTTATCTCCCTGATTCTAGAACTTATACACTGAAGTATCAGCATATGATGTTCATTATCTTCCTACCCTTAAGCCTCTCTTGCTATGTTTCTCTCTTTCCCCCTTGCCTTCTCTCATTCTCCATATCCCCAATAATGACCGAGCCCCACCCGTTTTACCTCCTAGATGTTCCTTGATTCTGAAACCTTCTATGCATCCCTACTGTTCATGCTAGCCTTGACCTGATCCGGACAGCCTGAGCTGGCTCTTCTGTGCAGCCACACAGTGGAACTGAAATGCACCTCTGATCCTGCCAGTCCCCCCTCAACCATTTTTGTAACCATTTTGCTGTGTGAGTTCAAGCTCCTTAAACGTGCTGTAGGCCCTTCTCTACCTGGTTACTGCCTCCTTAGCCTGTCCGAGACCTTGCCAGTTTCTCCGTGCACCTTGTCCCCCAGACTAGCTGAACCACCGCAGTCCAACTCTGTGCAGACTACGTCTTCTGCCTCTGCGATTTATACGTTCCCTTTATCCCTTCTGGCCGATTTTCTGCTCATCCTTTAAGCCTCGGCTCCTGTTGTTTTCTCCACAAACACATTTCTGATGCCTCTAACTGG